CCTTCCAGTGCCTCATTCACTCAATATACCCAGGAGACCACCCACCACTTCCTTTAAAAAAAAAACAAACCAACAGGATTTGTCTCTTTTGCCATACAGTAGGCAGTTGTGTCTAACACAAAGTATATGCTAAATAAACTACTATAAAGGTTAAGCAGTAGACTTCAATTTGGGTAAGATCATGATGGCAGTTTTTTCAAATCTCCCAAATTTCCTAAGAAAACAAAGCAAGTGAGATAGCATAGAAAAACATATCCATGGACATAGTCTTGAATAAAACTAACTGACAACGTATTCCAAAATAAACGCCAAACTATTGACAATATCAACACCCACTCAAGACCCTAGCTTGGGGAGGTTGTAGAGGGAAGGCATGCAGGGAAATTCTGGCTGATCCAAGAATTTCATAGCACCAAAACTACTAACAAATACTAGCAAAACACTCAGTGGGAGCCTCAGAAAATGAACCTGACAATAAATGGCAACATTCTTAGAAATGTGACACAGCAGTCTATCAATGGCAGGTGAATGCAAAATAAAAGAACAAAACAAAAATAAGTAACAAAAGCAAAATGCCCACCAAGGGGCTGCAGAAAGATCAGAGGTAACAGAACATCCTAATCTCCCAAGTGGACCTGATTAAAAACGCTTTTCTGGTAGACCAGAACCCAAAGCTAAAGAAAAACTCTTGGAGTAGAATCCAAATTGGCTAGGGCAGGGGCATGAGGGACAAAGGAGAGCAACGATTAGATAAGCGGACCAGCAGTCCGGAGGAGGCAGAGCTCAGACCTGGGATGGTTGCTATACAGAGAAGCTACATATTTTATATGTCATGGTAACAACAGGGGAAGGAGCCCTCAAACCGATAATGTATGGAAGCTACTCTACCATCAAGCAGGAGAAACTCCCATTTCAAATGAGCAATAGCAAGAAAGATAACAGAACAAAAGGATTATGATGAAGTCCTAATGAATACATTATAATCATACTTCTGATTATATATATTACAATATATATGATCAAGTCCATATAAATATATAAATGAACTAAATAATGTATAAAAATATAAGACACACAAAGAATAAACATACAAAGCAGATAAAAACTGTAGTAGAATATAACAACGTGATCAAAAGAAATTAAGAAAAATAGATACTACAAAAGTACTACAAAACTGGAAACAGGGAAGTACAGAAATGATGTCTAAATAGTAGGAGACTGAAAAAAGACAGAAAAGTGTTCAGGAAAAAATCAGAGTTAGAAAGAAATGGGAAAAAAATCATTTTAGAAAGAGAAGTAAACTCAAAGGAACACAAGATAGAATAGACAGCATGGGGAGTACAATAGGGAAACAGAATATAGAAAAGATAAAAATGGGGAAAAAAAAGAAAAGGAAAAACACACATAAAGAAAATGATGGAAATAAATGACCAAAACATAATCTGGGGTAACTGGAAAATAAGAGAAACCCTGAAGACAGAATGGAATAAAATAAATATCCTGTGATGTACCTATGCCCTTCACAGTCAACAGAAGACACATTCTCACAGATCTACTGAGTTCACTAATAAAAGGGAAGACTCAGTATTTAAGAGAAAGATCAAATCACAAAGAAGGAAAAAACATTCTCACAGCCACATTTATACCAGAAGCAATGAAGTAACATATTTAAAAATCTCAAGAAATGAAAATGTGAAACACCTTCAAACATCTAGAAATAGACCAAAAGGAGTAAACCAAATAAAGCAAAAAAAAAAAAGTTAAAAGCATAAATTACTGAGTTAGAATGAATGAATAAGCTAGTTCTTTTTTTTTTTTTTTGAATAAGCTAGTTCTTTTTAAAAATCAACAAGATAAGTAAACCAATTGGCTAATCTAAAACAAAATGAGGGGCACCTGGGTGGCTCAGTCAGTTAAGTGTCTGCCTTCGGCTCAGGTCATGATCTCAGGGTCCTGGGATTAAGCTTGTCCCTCTCCCTCTGCCCCATCACCCCTTCACCCCCCCACTCATGTTCTCTCTCTCAAATAAATGAATACAATCTTAAAAAAGATAAAACAAAATGAAACAAAACAAAATAAACAATACTATCCAACCCAACCAAAAGAAACTCTAATGTAACAAAAAATTCAAAATTCAGACGAAATATAAATCAAACAGAGAAAATGAAAATTATTGTATGCAATCTTCTGTTAATAAATTAAACAAACTAAATAGTGGATAATTTCCTAAGAAAGTATACTTCACCAAACAGATCCCATTGACCAAGCAAGTCTGAACAGAACAATTTCCATAGAAGAAACAGAAATAGGAGTCCCACCAAAAAAAAAGCACTAGGACCAGATGGTTTCATAGGAGATTTGTACCAAACTTATAAAGTTAAAACAATTTAAAGATTATTCAGACTATTTTAAAGCATAGGAGTATACACACATACATGGAAAATCTAATATCAAAACCTGACAAAGATTAGACAAAATTAAAATGAGGAAAATAATAACAAATATCATCAAATAGCACATTAAACCAGAATAAAACTGTGTCATGACCCCACTCAGTTTTTTCTAGGAATGTAAGGATGGTTCAATATCAGGAAATCTACCCTATTACAAGAGCTAAAAAGAAAAATAATCATTCAACAAAATTTAAAAGCTATTCATGATATTACAGTCAAAAATTGGAATTAAATGTTTGTTCTCTTAACCTGATAAAATATACATACTTCAAACCCTAATCCTTCAAATTATTTAATGAGGAAATCGTGAGAGATGTTCTAAATAAGCCTGGGGTTAAAAAAAGATGTTCACTGCCTCTAATACTATTTAAAATTGAGCTGACCCAATTAAATAAGTGAAAGCAACTAGAGACATCTGAATTGGAAATAAAAAGACAAATCTGTATTTTTATATACTATGATGATATGGAAATACCAAAAGAATTAATGGAAAAACTACTATAAAAAATATAAGAAATTAGTAAATTTAGTAAAGTAGCAGGAAATAATATTAACATAAAAAATCAACAGCCTTCATTTAAAGAATAACAGCAAGTTAGAATACTTAGTAGAAGATAAGACCCCATAGTGATAGCAAAAAGATGAAATAACATACCAAAGCATAAATATAACAAAAAATGTGCAAAATGCATATAAGGAGAAGTATAAAACACTCCTGGAAGACACAAGAGTGGACTTGACAGAATGGAAAGACAGTCTATGATTTGGAATAGGAAGAAGTGTGTGTGGCCTGAATAACCATGAGCAAAGATAATCATAAAACGGGAAAAGGAAATGTAATTTACATCACAAAGGGCTAATATTACCAACAGAAAGAGTACCCAAAACTTGAGTGAAAAATAACAACTTGAAGATGGCCTTTGTATACAATCAGGCTCAACCTCACTTTCAAAAGGAAAATTCAAACTAAAACTTCGAGTTATCATTTCTCACCCACCAGATTGGCAAATATCCAAAAGTTTTACAAACAGTTTTGTGGCAACCACTTGGGGAAAGAGGCACCTGTGTACATTGCTGGTCAAAGTCAAAATGGTTCAGGGAATATGGGATATATAGAAACTAAAAATGGAACCACCAGGAAGCAATTAGCCATATCTAGAATGTAGAATGTTCTACAAGACTCATTTTCCCAATGGATCGATGACAAGAATTTTTTTTTTTTTGCAGGATATGTGGGGTTGAGAATTAAGTCATAGAGAGACTTAAATGAGATTTTAAAATATAACAAATATACTTTGTGAAGCTTGTTTGAGTCGTGATTCAAAGAAGCTAACTTATTGTAAAAGGAAATGTTTGAGACAACTGGGGAAATACGTCTATGACTTGGGTACTGGCATACATTAAGAAATTGTTAATTTTGCTAGATGCAATAATGGCATGATGGTTATGTTAAAAAGAAAGTGTCTCAGTCAGTAATGCATAAGGAGTTACTTCTGAAATGACCTGATTTCTCAGACTTGCTTTAAAATGAAAAGAACTGGCCAAATATTGATAACTGTTGATACTGAGTTATAGGGATTCATGACAACTATACTCTCTACTTTTGTGTAAACTTAAAATTTTCCATAATAAAAAGGTTTTCAAAAGGTTAAAAATGAAAGAGAGTAATGCACTGACTGTGACCCCTCTCTTTTAAGGATAATACAAAATGAATTATGTATAAAGAGATGCACTGACCCATAAGTAATTTCATGTTATGCATCATCTCATTAGATTCTTAAAATCCTAGTATAAAATAAGGCCCTTTTCCACCAAAATTATGTAACTGGAGATGCTGATACAGCCAGTAAAGGAAAGAGCTAGGATTTGAGTCTAATCTGTCATTTGCAGACCCTTATGTCCCTTCTGCTCCCTAAATAGCATAATTTCAAATATTTCAGAGAGACAGCATCATCTACCTATTTTTATCCTCTGTGTGAAGGTTAGTAATATATAGAAGGAATATCCTCTGACAGAACTTTTCTTTCTTTGCTTTTTTGTTCTTTTCCTTTTTCTTTTATTTATTTCTTGTCTCCCAATGGTGCCATTTGCTTTTCTTATACTCCTGCTTTCCACCTCATGCCCTTTCTTTTCACCCCTTATATCTTCAGAACATTTCAGGTTAATGACATCCTGAATATCGTCACATTGTAACTTTATCATGTAACATTTATTGGGCATCCCATAAATCCACAGGTGCCACGCTTGGGCTAGTCACTGCGCCAGGCCATGGGTTCACCCGTAGGTGGCATAATCGACCCTATTTTGGCCATGAAGCCTGTAGTCTGAATATCTCTCTCCTTCCTGGATATCCCAAGGCTTTGTGTCTTACACAATTTATTTCACTTTTTAAATGTTCTTAGGCATCATATTTTCACCAATCTCTGGAGTTATGCCCTATTTTTAAAAGCTTCAGTATGGATAAAGAGATGTTTTGTTTGATTGAAATTAATCTGAAAATACTATTAAACTTAGATGTTCAAGGCATTTTGGTTCTAGAACACTCACCTTGACAATACCCCGGATGTGCATTTTTGCTATCATCTCTGCTGTGTAGAGAAACATCAGCAAAGTATCCAGAGTAAACGTCACGTACTGAAGAGGAGGGTAGTGTTCGAAGGTCATGGGCGTGTTCATACAGACGGAAATGACGCTGATGATGGCACAGATGCGCAGCAAAGAGTGAACCCACTGCAAAATTGGTCCAAAGTTATCATTTGACACCATAAAATGAGATCTTAAACTTGTGTTATAAACCACACTATTTGGAAAATATGACCTCGAAATTAAAATATCTCACCCGCATGGAGAAGAGAGAGTAGGAAACTCATCATGTCTGTTAAGTGCATATAATGTGCTAAATATTTGCACATATTTTATATCATTTAATTCTGAAAGCAGCCTAATTTCCACATGCTGAAAGGAAGGAAAGGTTAAGAGACTTTTCTGTGCTCCTGCAGTTAATGAGAGCCAACTGCTCACTGTGAACCTGGGCAGGCTACTTCAATGGCTCTGACCTTTCCAAGGCATCAGGCCACAACATAAGGAGATTCCGATCCCATTAAAACATGGGACAGTACCTCGCTTTTATACTTTTTATATACTATGAGCACCTAGAATTGGAGACTTATATTTTACTTAACGCAACGTCCCCGGTAGCTAGCACAGTGGCCTATCCTCCTGGATTGCCAATGTTTTTAAAAATGACTTGATACATAGCACTTCGTATGTGTCCGATTTTCTTTCCATTTGTATCTTAAATGTAACATTCTCATATAAAAAGATATATTTCAAAATCTGACATCCTACATTTTCAAAAGATAATAAATGGACTTTCCTCTCTATTTTAGAGAACATTCTGTACAAATTTAGCCTTGGTAGCTTTTCCAAAATTCCAAAAAGTAAGTTTCTGCAATTCTAGGAATGCACATGCTGTTTGAAGATTTTCCTCAACTTCAACATAAAGATGTAGAAATAAAAAGATAAACACGTATACGCACGTGTGTGCATATACACGTGTATGCATAAACAGGATCACCTACATATAAAATTTTATTATAAAAACTAACACCTACGCTAAAAAATATTCATTGTTTCTGAATGCTATGAATGCTACCCCCACACAATTAATACTACTAGCTAATTAATCAGTACACAATTCTTAAACATAATTTAAATGTGTTATTTATTGACAATGTTGGATATATCTGCATTCATGTTAATCATTTAATATTATACTCCCCCCCGAAAAAGATGTCACAGTTTCATGGTAGATATCTTCTCAGCTCTGCAAACTAGCAAGCACCCATGATGAAAAATCGAAAAGACTGTCAGAACTGTGAGGAGACTCAGACATTTGTAGGCTGGTGAGTGGGTTATGATATTAATCTGACAGTTATGATGTTTGCATGAAGACATAAGGCCATTAATTCTATATCATGTAAGTCACTGATGACTCAATTCATTTTAAGATGTCCTTTTCATGCAATTTGGATGCCCTTCAATAAATACCAGTGTGCAAATTTAGCCCCATCTGGATCTCCAACACAAAGGATCTAATTACACAAAAGAGCTTCAAAAGATGGGTTCTTCCACAATAAATCTATTTTGAATTTAAAGAAAGAATCCTAATTAAGCATTAATCGTTTTTAGTTAGTGCTTCCAAGGCTACATCTATAATGCTACCTTCCTCAGAGGTTCTCAGAAAGCCTTATATGTGAAGGACACTAAGAAGTTAGTGAATGCTTTATTCTCCATCCTGTTCAATTCTCTAATCATGAATGGCAGACCTTCAATGTGTAAGAAATTCTGTGGGGCTCTGGGGCCACAAAAATGTTAAACGCGTTTCTAACTCACCACTATTTAGCAGTCTCGTATGCATAACATACATTTATATTTATAGGCAATATACATTTTTACTTACATACAATTGTAAAATAGGATAAATGGAAAGAGAAGAGGTTCGTTCTGTGTGTGGTGGAGAGGGTCAAATGAGGAACTGTTCAGAGGCCAACAGGGGTGGGCTGACATCTGAGCCAGCCTTTAATGGGTCAGGAGGACTTGACTCATCAGGGGCTGGGAAAGGCCTCCGGGCAGGGAAGCAATGTGAACTGGCTGGACATTTCGGAGGAGCAGGAAGACGCTGATGAGGCTCAAGTGGCCAGTGTGCAGATCCAGGAAAGAACAGTTGCCGGGCAGTCAGAGCCAGAATAGAAAAAGTCCTCATTGTACAACTAACACATTTTAATTTGAAATGTAGGTGAGGGAGATATTTCAGTGACTATAAAGCAGAAGAGCAATGTGAACAGAAATGGAAACGCAGGAGGAAATCTGAGCATGCTGGACATGGAGTTTGGAGGGCAGATGACCTTTGTCCCGGTCCAAGGAAAGATAACCAGCTCGAGGGCAACAGTTCATTCCCTTGCTTCAGCCTCGGCTGTGAGTTCGTACGGAAGGAGAGCCTACTCTCCGCGGTTGGGTTGAGCTTCCGAGAGCCGTGAACATGCTGTTCCACCCTCTGGCTGCTACACGATCTACTCCAATGTTCCCCTCAAGGTCTCATCAGCTTCATTAGGCAGAGAAGGTGACGGAATTCTTCAGAGACACTACCCACTATCTCATTAACCTTTACTTTTACTCAACACTTGCAACTCAGAAGGCGACCTTTAATTCCAAACATTTGATGATCACCTCACACATTCATGCATGCTGAGAACTCTATAGTCAAGGAAGTATGATAGAAGAGATTACTCATCTGGGACTCCAGCTTTGGCTCAGACTGAGAAGGGGCACTATCGCTGCGTGGCGTGACTCTGAGGACAGCTTGCACAGAGGGGGAAAAGTGGGAGCAGACCACCTAGCAGACCTTCCTATGTGAATAACTCCCCGTGACATTGCTTTATTTCATCTGAATTATTCTCCACCTTCAGACTCCGAGACTCATCCATATTCTACTGCACCTCAAACAGTCATTTCAAAGCCAAAGGTACGTGATTTTTGAATTATATGAATCAAATTTCCTTTGTATCAGCATGCGCTTCTCCCTTCTTCAAAAAAGAAACTTACTGGCTTGTTAATCCAGAGTATGTCAGCGTTGTCTGACAGAGATTCATCGGGACCAAAGTCAGTAACCGGCTGGGCCTCCACCCTGGAGCTCTGCTTCCTTTTGAGCATGCTGAAGCTAGCTTTGGTGAGCAAGTACAAGACTGCAGTCTGCAAGAAAGACGGTTCTGTTAGTCACCTAAACCATCTCTACCCTGACCCTCCAACAACGGAGTCCCCGTGGATGCAGATGCATTCGTTAATCAGACACATGTTCTACTATATGGTATATAATAAACGCATCCAAAAAGAAACTTTAAAAGAGGAAGATAAAAATACTAATCCAAGCTTGAGGTTTGTTTTTTTTTTAGATCATCTTGTGCACTTCATATACAGTCTGCATGCCCGTTTGGAGAGCACTAGTCTAGATTAACTGGGGTAGAATGCCTTTGCCTTTCCAGATACACATATTAGCAGGACGTTTTTTGAGGCCTAGAGCTGTCTCCACTTAAAGCCGGTCTGTGCCAGAGCACAGGTGACCAATCCACATGAAATAGATCTTTCCCAGGATTTCCCCCGGGTTAATTTAATGTGACACTCACAAACGTCTATTTCCAATGATAGTTTCAAATGGAGTTCCCAATTTTGTCCTTGACATAGAGGACGTGGGGCAGACAGAATGGGGCAGAACCTCCTCTAAGTGGTTTTTTTTTTTTTTTACGAATGCTGGAACTGCATCAGTTCTTCCAGTTACCTTGAAGTAAATCCAAATCACACCGAAGAGGGAGATGAAATGACCGCTTGCCATGTACATACATTTCCACAATTCCGATCATCCACATCTTGCTCTAAGTGTCACCTCTGTCTGGCCATTGCTACCACCTCCCACAGTGCAGCGGCCACAGAGGGAGGGCCTATTGTATGCCGGGCCCTCAGGACACAAATAGCAAACAAGTGCAACAGAACAGAGAAGAGACACAAAGGTAGGCGGTGCCTGGCTACCCTGAGTCCACAGACAGACTTATTTGATGAACACCTGGACTGAGTCTCAAAGGAAAGGAGCAAAGCTAGTGTTTTTTGGGGGGTATATACTATGTTTTGGACACTTAGCAATGATATTTCACTTAATCTTACAACGGACACTAGACAGGAAAACATCTCGTCTTTTCACGCCCGCATGAGAAATTCCAGCCTCGGGTGGTTAATAACTCGACCAAGGCTACCCACCCCAGAAGAAGCTCCCTCGATTACAGAGCCTAAGTGTGTGTAGTGGACCAAACTGATGCTGAGGACTGATCAGAAGAGCGCAAGGCCAGTAAAGGGAGAGGAAAGGTCCAGGCGGCGCATAGCGGTGGAAATGCCGAGTCAGGAAAATGCAGTGGTTTTACCACCAGGAGGTGCGCTGGCTGTCCCCTCGGCTGCTCCTTGGGGCTAGACGCGGAACTCTAACCAAAGGACAATGAGGACCACTCAGTTCTCGCAGGAGCAGGAGAAAAACAAGAATGTGTTTGCAGGATCTGTAAATAAATGCAGTTGCAATTTTCACTGGGAAAGAGAACAAACCACAGCAGCTCAGGACAGATCAGCTTTGACTTTGATTCTCTATGTCTGAGTGCTTCCTTCTATGTCTGGGCTCTCCTTGATGTGCCCAGTTAGGTATGTTTGCCCAGCCCTCCTATTCCCGGAAGAAATCGAGCTAATTGGCTTTAAGATGTGCTAGGTATTTCCAGGCTATCTTGCCCTGAATATCGGATTTGAATATGGGCTTTGCAGTAGGCTGCACTAATTAATTTTATTTTACATAATTGGAGTTAGGGACTCTTGACATCGATATGTAAATATATGCAGAATATTCAAATTATGCTTATTCTCTGATTTACTATGGAGGGAAACATCTGGTGGCCTCAATTTGGGATGCTTTTTGAATGACAGTCTCCTATGTACCCAAAAACAGGATACAGAATCTTTTAGAAATCCTTCAAGATTACCCAACACAAAGGAAATAAAGTGTGGTTGTACAAGGTTGTTTAAAAATGATACAAGAAAATTTTATAGACCTGGCCACCAACCATAATACCTTTTTCACTGAGCCAGTGAATACTTATGAATGACCATTTACTGCTCTTATGATCTGGCCATAAGTTACAATCCAAAAAATTTTTGATGTATGAATGCGATACCTTCATATATGAATTCCATGCACCTTTTATTATAAATATCCCATCTGAAGCAAAGCCGATTTTTGATTATGGATTTGTTTATCTAAAGAAGTAGACACCCAGAATTATTTTTTTTAAATCTCTATGCTAGCAATTTTTTACCCAACAAAACCGTGCATGATGAATGATATTAATTGTCATACACTTCCACCCTAATCTTACCTACTGCAAAAATGCCACCAAATTAAACAATGCCCAAGAAAACCATCTGTTCAGACTTCCATGGAACCTGGTTAATCCACATATACATTAAAACTCACTAGCTCCTGAATCACTGAAATCTTGACTGATTTTATAATACCAAATATTATGTAAAGCAACCAAGTAGTAAAATAAATGCAAACTACAAACATATGAAGAGTTCAAAATTAATTTGAGGCAGTTGATTATAAAAATTTTCCTTTCTACACAGAAATATGATTTTACATTCATTCAAGTTGAATCAACATAACTAAGTCCAGCAAACCTATTATTCCCCTGATAAAGACCAGCAGGGATATTTAAGTATCCTAGGTAAGCTGATTATTTTGATAGGAAATTGCTTCTGTGTATCTTAGCCTTATCACTATGATGTATTTATAACCCAATATTTTTTTTTCTGTTTACAGAAGTGTCCTTCATAAGGCAGTGCACTAAATTTAAAAAGCAAGGCTTCCAGTAGCTTTTTCAGCCTTATTAAAAGTAGTTGGTATTTAAATAGTTCAATAGTGGGGAAAGGCTGCACAGTTACAATACATTCACTGATTAATCTTTTGCCTGGAAACAGCTAATGGCAACTCCAAGAGAAAAGATATTTTGGTTCATTGCTCCCTTTTAAATGGTTAAAATCCAGTTTCGCATTCTGTGATAACTTTTTACTTCCATCGGCATACTCTTTCCTTAGAACATTCCAGTTCTTTCATGACCAACTGCAATGAAGAGATTCCGTTTTCTGTCATTGTGAAGTGCTTGCAACACTGTGGGTCATCTCTTCTCCTTGTAGCTCCTTTGGGCTTGCATTAAACTCTTTTGAAACTTCCATCTTCTAAATGATGGTTTACAGCATGTCCTTTACCTGTTGCCCCCCCTGTCTGTCCTCTGTACTTAACGCCTTAAACGAGCATCTGCTCTTAGAGTCTCCATCACCATCTGTTGCTGTCTGGCTCCCGAGTCGTGCATCTACACTGCTGCTTTGCCCTCAGATGCAGGCCGTACCGACACCATCACCACCTGAAACTCAACAGGGCAGGTGGATATCAGTTTGACATTACCCTCCCCCTTTTCTCTCAACTCCCAGATCCTACTGCTCTGAGCTCTTCGGGTCCTCACGGGCAGCTCCTCACACATGCAGAAGGACATGTCCTCATGTGCAGGTCCTCACATGTGCAGAAGATTCTCTGTGCTGATGTACACGGGCCCCTTTGGCTTTAGCCCCGTTCTTGCTGGGCCACGGATTCAGGTCAGGACTGCCACAAACATCAAGCTTTCTGATATGTCCCGTCCTGTATATCAGACATCAACTCCCCAAAACACTGACCTGGTCTCTCCTGGAACCCAGAAAAGCTCTCAGCCTAACCCCTTGGTTCTTGTTCATTAGTTCATTCATTCATTCACACGACGAAGACTGCACATCCGCTTCGGTATCAGGCACTGTGACATGTGCTGGATTCCCAGCAGGGAACAGCAAAGGCATTCGGAGCTCGCAGCCCGCCTGCCTTCTTGAGCTTCACGTTGTAAGGACACTCCGCCCCGCTCAGTTTTACCTGCACTTCCGCTCATGCTCATAACCCACACGCTCCACTTGAACTGGCTAAGTGTCCCATCACCCCCACCCTACGATCTTTCTCAGCGACTTCAGCAACTTTACTCCAGCTGTGTCCTCTTCCTGGTCTGCTGCCAATCCCCCATCAGTCCTTTGTACTCCCTAACTGAACCCATGTAGAGTTTTTAAAAGGAAATTAAGGAAACAAAATGTGCAATACCATCCCTTGGACTTCTCACCTCCAGCTTTACTGTTAGGTCTTTGGAAGGGCAGCCTTCATGGCTAGCAGAAATTTCTCATTCATTCATGCTTGCATAAAATGCATTCATTCAAAAAAAAAAAAAAGGATCCCAACCATTGTGTGAGGTGACAGGAATTTAGCACTAACAAATCATACTTGGTCTCTTTCCTCCATGGATTCCAATGCTCTGTGCTCCTGACACAGCCAAACAACATGTTTAATTAACGACAGAGCAACTGATGAATTAAAGGAGAGCCCCTCACTACTGCACACTCATTCTTCAACTTCCACCTAATGGTATTCTTATTTTTTTCACTATCTTATTGCTAGCTCTGCACTACCTCCCTGGGCAAGGAGTATTTATTGAACGACTGATTCCCAACATGCACCTGTATCTGCACTGTCAGCCATGACGAGCGTCACGTGACAAGCCAGGACAGCCGAATACTCCCTTCCTGGACCTCAAATACCTACATCTTAAGTTAAATGAAAAGAAAATAATTTTATTTTTTAATTTTCATTACACTAACAATGCAGGATAATTAGAAAAAATATAAAAACAAAATGAGGAACAAGGTGAAAACCATCAGGAACTCCACTTCTAGAGACTCTATTGTTTTTGCAAAGTATTTGTTGTGTGAGTACATTGTGCCCGTCCCGGGGCAAAGCAATGCAGACGGAGCAATAATCAAATACATTCCCTCTCGTCCTTTAGCTGGGGCACTTACTCTCCAATGGCATATGGGTTGTATATCTACTATCTTCTTCTCCATATATATTTTTCCATGCATATATTTATTTTTAAATGACTGCTTAGTCTTGTAACCAGCTGTTTTTTTTTTTCAGTATCTTGTGAACATCTTTCTCTGTCAATAAATATGCATGCACAGAAAATCCTAACTGTAAATAAACACCCCCTTCAAACATCTGCCTTTCTCTGTCTTTTTCGTCTCTTAAGCTCATTTACATC